CTTCATCGGTTTGTTGTCACCCAATGGCATGCCATGGCAAAGTGACGTAACGACTTCTCCTCTCTATTTCATTTTGGACTTGTTGTTGTCAAGGGAACGGACGCGCCAAGAAATATATATGTATTAATATTCACGTTTCTTTTTGTCTGCCCGATCACGGACTGTAAACAGTGATTTCTTGACCAGACCTAACACAATCGAGTGCTACTTCCGCACCGTTAACATTCCGGGGGCAAGACAATTTTCAATCAGCATTGTGACAAAGTACGCGGCAGTTACCCTGCGAGCCGAAGTTTCTCTATTTCACAGCTTTTAGCGTTTAAGAAGTCGTTCGCGTCGCTTGTTAGTCGCATAGTTGCATACGCGACTGACGACCTCGTAAACGCTAAGGTCTTCCCCCCCCCCTTTTTTTTTCCGTTTAACGTCCAATGGGTTTCCTGATGTTGGGTAGGTCGGTCGGACTGAAAAAGAAAATCTATAAAGAAAATCTCAAGAAGTCTCGGAATAGGAGGCCCTGGTAACCCAGGATGACGTTAAAAGTTAACATTCACATATTTGTATTAACAAAATGCACAATATACTGCAAAAAATGTTCCTGTTTTTCTCTATACTGTTACTATGCTCATTTTTCAGATAAAAATAATTATTTTAAATAAAAAATGGTTTAACTAAGTCGTTCCCTTTTTTTTTGTTTTTAAAATGCCAAAAATTTGGGTTGGTCGGACGACGCTAAACGGAGAAAAAAAAAACGAGGATGGCCTAAAAACCTAGAAATGGGAGTGCAGGCAGCTATGATCCACGCACGATCCACGCGCTTTTCGCGCGACAAATTTCTTTGCGGGGTCTCGAGTATCGCTTCGCGAGGAACAACGTTGCAACCCGCCTCCACCTGCTTATGAGCTCTTATTCAAGGAATTTTACTCAGGATATGACCTGTAAGAGCTAAAACCGTACGTGTCGTGCTTATGATACGACACATTTTCTCCCAACTAGCTCATCATTGTAAGGCCATCAGCCAGTAATGTGGTACAAAAAATCCAAAACAGCGTACGTGTCACTGGTTTCAGGAAGTAAACTGAACGTGACTAAAAAATCACATGAATTATGGGTGCCGATACCGAAAACAACAAGTCTGTCTCTGTATTGACATAATGGTCCAAATGTGGATCTATTTTGACGTTGTTAACATATTCTAAACACGTATTCGTCTCTTATCGCGGAAGTAAAAACATGCGTCGTACAAACAGTATCAGTATTCCTGTGCATCAGTTCAGCAAGGAGAGTGCGTCTTGACCAACAAGGCATTTCGTTTTATAAAACTGACGAATATCTATCTTCTCGTTGGCGACAAGCTGCAAAAGGATCAGAAGCAAGAGCGAGTAAGTTCACATCTACTCAACTGCATGTAGGGCCCGTGTAGAAAAGAATCATTTGAAAACAATTCTTGCATTTTCATTTCCTTTTGTTTAGTTTCCTGATCGGCCTTTAATTGTGTGGGTGTGAATATGTAGGGGAAGTTTTTTGGCCTTGTTTTTCTCGCATTCTAATGCCATCGCCGTCTTTAATGGTCTCCTTACACTATTTTTGGTTATTTTCTGAACCCATAACTGCTAAAATGTAAGCATTTGCAATAACCGATAGAATCCGCGTTTCCTCAAAACATGATGAAGTGATCTCTCTTTTTACACCCGGAAACGTCGTTACCGCGCAAACTCTCGTGCACCGCCAGATCGAGGCTTGCTTTGTTTGGGACAAATTTCATGGGAAAAACACTTGAAACGCGGTATCAAAAGCCTCTGAAAATGGTTTATTTTGCTCGCATTCCTCACAGCTGGAGCTACTTCGTAACTCACCATCTGAGAGCTCGTATAAGATCGCTATCCGTTGACAACGAGTATGCAGTGGTTTCAGTCTACTTTAATATTTTGAGTCAAAGTGGCGATAAACAGCGACGATTGAGAAATATGTATTTAGTCCAAAGTCCTTTAAAAGTAGATTTGGGCCAATTATCGTGTTAAAAGATCAGGATGCATATTTTACAAGGTAATATAGGTTTCAAAAAATATGCTTAATTCATACGCTGTATTCTGTGGATTCAACAGGAAAAAACAACAGTCGCGATATTTGGTAGTAAATAATTATGGCTTTAACTATAACTATTAATAAGCTTAAGCTTAATATTAGATTAGAATTAAATACACACATACATACTTTATTGACTTTCCGCCGCATGGAGGCTTTTCAAAGACAATAATTCAATTAATTACATACATCTAATTAAAACCATTAAAACCATATCACGTAGCTATAGTCAGCCCCCATTTAAGCTTATGTTTATTACGTTGCACTTTCCAAAGTTCCAAAATCTTTCCCTCATTACTTTAAAATTGACCTCTATTATATGTAATTTGCTTACCATAATATATGAACAGTCTAGAACATAATGTGTCACATGTAGTTAAGAGTTACATTTGTAAACAAAGCTTTTTTGTTTACATTTTTCATAATATGACTTCCCAAAACAATCCCATGTAAAATATAATGTAGTTGTAGCAGCCTTATACATTAACACAGTTGCTTCGTCTTTTAAGTCAAACATAACAAAAAATTTTTATTGCTGGCCTTCTATTTTGATTATATTATTAAAAAAGTACCTGTCCATTTCAGATCCTCAGAATTAAAGTGTGTGACATGGTTACAATGCTATAAAAAACTTTCATTGTTTCCTAATATTAAAAAATCGTTGGTACATATTATATTCACAGAGGTTATAAACATGTTTGATTGGCAGAATTTTGTTCCAAGAAATTAAACAACAAGGTGAAGCAGATATACTTATAGGGTTTCTTGTAAAAATCAATCCATTCTGCACTTTTTAAGGATAAATTTGTGTAATAAATAGGTCAAAGGATGGCTGTGATGAGAGGTTGTAGGCCATCATCGGGACAAATAGTCAATTCATTTGGTCAGGGAAAGTGTACATTCAACTTAAAAAAAAACTATGACTGTGGCAGCCATGTTTGAGCAGGCTTCATACATATGTTGAGAATTTAGAAACCAATCAACTTGATCACCTGACTTTTATGTGGATATTTCGTGCATGGGAATGTTTCATGCATGTACACAAATAACTATGTTTAGTATAATTATACTAAAACAGTGGATAGTGTTTTTCGCGTGCTTCGTAAGCTACGAGGTAAAATGGGTTTCCGGTTTGCTGCATTAACAAACAAAGAAATTTCACAAATAATCAAACGAGCTGTTCCTGAAATACCTGAAGAAGGTGACGAAATTTGGTTTGGAAGATTTAACAGGTAAAGCTTTATCTGTTTGACTTGAATTTATCGATGAAACCGGTGAAAAAGGTTTTTGTTTACAAATGCAATTAAGTCTTTTGTTAGTAACTTTATTTTACTGACATGTTCATAAATAAGCTTAAAACTAAATTTAATATTTTTTTTACAGAAGGGTTCTAAATACCGAAAGAATTCACAACTCCTTTTGAAGAAATTTCCCCACAAGAGCTAAACAAATGCCTTCAAAAGTTTTATTTGTCGGCTTAAGAAAATGCAACGGCCATTTGGTCATTGCACGGTGCAAAAATTGTAATCGTTGGCAACAGTAAATGAGTCAAAAATCATCATTTGGTGCTCAATTATCTCACCGTTTTAGAACAGTGCAATTAAAAACAATTATTCACCTCAGCGTTGTTGGCTAGTGGTGGATTCTTACCTCGCTGCTTCGCGGCCCAGTAAATAACCACAACTAGCCACCACCTTTTTGGCGAATAATTGTTACACTTGCATAAACGATTTGGTACTTTTTGCAGAGGTTCTGTGCTAATGAAGGCCTTCATATTCAATGATCACTTTCATAATCCTTGGGAACCGCATCCTCATTTCTATTTCAGTGATTGTGTTCATATTTGTTACAAAAAAGGTTGTCAAATGTGATTATGTACAAAAATAAGGACAAAAGCTCTCATTTATTGCTGTAGTTCACTGGCAATAAATACTTTTTTCCCCAATTGTTGTTTTCACTACAGCATTACTCCTGTCATCTGCAGTCATCAATTCGATACCCATTCTGTATCCAAAACAACTATACATCTGCATCTGAGGGCTATAGCAGATACTACTACTTACACCATTCAAAAGTTATATTATTACAATATTATTATTGGAGATGGCACAAGGTAGCTGTTATTAAGCAATTGCCACCCCATATTAGGCTGCAGTCATCCACTATATCACACCCTTTTCTTTCTGGCAATAAACTACACATTCAGGGGGAAGGAAGGGTCAACGCAACTTTGGCTAACCTTTCCTTAATAATAGCAACCCAATTTAAATCCCATGTCCTTTTCTAAAAACAGGGCACTGGGTTTAAATTTACTCTGACCAAAAGGAGATTTAGTATATCTCAGCTTCCAGTTATAACAGAGCCGGTGTTGAAATCCGCCCTCCCATCCCTTAATACATTGTACAGGTCTCCTCCCCTGAGCTTACGTTATACACAAATTTCTAGTTATATTATTTTAAGTTGCATTGTTGTCTCCACCTTAGTAAGCACTGGAATGGTTACTTTGTTAAATGAAGTAAGTAAGTTTGTGTGTAGCTCGTGACGGAGTTTTGGGACAAGAATATAAAAGGAAGAAAAATTTTTTATCTTCCCTCTCATTACTCTCATAATGGATACTTATAACAATTATTGAATGAGGCTTTGCACAACATTTGTTTGTGAAATGGGACCATCCTCCCGCCCCCTTTTGCTACCCTCTTACTGTATTTAAGCTATGTACCAGCTGTCAATAAATTCTCTGCTTGATTCAGGTCAAAACTGTATTAAACAGGTGATAAAATTGACCATTCTCTAACAATGACCATATGGCACCCCTAACACAGGTATAACTTTAACTGTATTAATAATTATTATGAAGGTCAAACGGGAACTTTCTCTCTCTGTCTTTCAGGAGGTGTTGGACGTTACAGCTGCATACCATGGGGTCAGCTGTTAATCAAAAGGATCTCAAAATAGAAAGTCAAAAAATGGATGGATCTGACTTGCCATCGGCAGCTACTACCAAAACTTCTTCTAAAAGGTATGTATCTAAAAAATTATTAACTTTAAATGTCTACTCCAAGGCTGTGCTTTCCTGGCTTCAATAACTTACTTAATTTTGCATTTGGGTAATTGTAACATTCAAGAAATCTTAGATTTTCTTAAAATGTATAATTTATTTAAAAAAAGGTCGGCAAGCTGTATTTGTGGCAACTACTTATCAGCTAGTACTCACTACTGGTTACATGTTGTTTCCTATCATATATGACCGCGTGACATGCTGGTGAAAGCATGCAGTGACCTCATTTTATTTAACATATTAAGGGCTTCAACACTGCAGGTCGCACATCATGCTGTTTTATGTTGTATAAGATAACAACTTACAAGCCCCTTTTTCTGGCCACAGTTTAATTTGATACCATGTGGTGTGTGATTGGTTGAAAGATATATGCACTTGGTTCTGATTGGGTGAATGGTAAACCCTAAAGTTTATACAGTCAACTATCTAAATTCCACCAATAATTTTCTCATTATGGAAGAGCGTCTATTGAAACACATCAGCTGCATAAATGGAGGTACACATGACTAATTGTGTGCAGCTTTCAAAGCATTCTGACCCATGCAGTGGACTTTTGATTATTTGAGTGAAGTTCTGCAAAGTGTTTGTTTCCATGAAAGGAAACAATCGCCAAATTTGCATGCACTCTGTCTTCCTTATGGCAATTAACTTTAGTTTACATTGATCAAATATGTCAGAAATGTGCATCATATAATATTTTATTAAGGTATTTAAAAAAGAAGATGCTGCACACAGGTTTCCTTAGTGAGTAGCAGAGTGAATAATTATAATGCCACAGCACAAGGAGGTTGAACTTGCTGTTTCAACTTGTTCTGGTGAAGTAATATTATGCTATCTTGTTGTAATACCTTGATCTTGCTCCAGGTCTGGCAGATTCTGTGCTCATACACCCAAAACATTCCCCTCTGCTGCCAGCTACTCAACAATTTCTTTATCCCCTGGTCCCTGGGTTGCTCTCACATAATAACAATCACATTAACAATATTATTATCAGGGCTGTGCTCTAACAGAGCCAAGTGGCCCCTGGTGACCAAGTTTTGCTCTTGGGCGACTAGTCATTCTTATGTCTTTTGTACAAATCATATGCTGGACACCCTAGATTATTTGACAGTTTCAGAGCACTGGGCTCCCTTCAATTTTCCTTAGAGCACAGCCTTTATTATTATTATTATTATTATTATTATTATTATTATTATTATTATTATTATTATTCTGTTTTAAATCACATTAAACAGCATCAATAAGTATAACCAGGAATGAAGTGTGTGTGTTAACTCAAATAACAATTTTGAATGGAAAATTTACCAGTTACTTTTGTTGAAAAGAACATACAGATACAGTGAACCAAATGAAGAAGAAGAAGATAAACCATTTCTTGCTCCTTTGAGCAATAAATGTGAACCAAATGTTGATTACTTTTTCAGTTGACAGGCAAATACCCCTTACCAAAAAGAAAACTTTGGGAATAATATGGCAAAGCCTGGGCCACATATGGCCCATACATGTATGTGGGAATGGTATGGGAAGGCTGAGTGATGATTGCGTTCGCGGTACGAGAACGTAACCCCTAATTTGTGTTGGGTGTCCTGTGCAATCAATAGGGAGTTTAAGATACGGCGACTACGGACTACGAACAACTACGGCTGGACGAGCGTTGTTCTTTGTTCGTAGCACTGGGTTGAGTCGTGCAAATATAGAACGTTAAGATTGCACTACAGACAGTAGACTACGAGAGAAGAGGCGGAGAGGGAAACAACACGCAAAGATTTTCTTGTTTTCATCACAGTTCACAAAAATGCAAGTCAGTTTTGCATGTGATCTTTATATCTTTAGAGCAATGAACAAATTCTTCCATACTTGAAGGAAGCAATTGTGACCCTCCACGGGAAAACGTACACTAACGACCTTCCGTTAAACGTTAGAAAACTAACGGATACTTAACGGATTGCTCACGGCTCTGAAGTCATTCTAACGCTTTGTAATAACGTTCTAACGCTCGGCCCTGGCCTTCTAACGGTTTGTCTTAACGCTCTAACGGGTTGTCCTAACGGTCCAACGGTCCGCTCTAACGCTCCAACGGTTTGCGTTAACGTTCTAACGGTTTATACTAAAGTTCTAGTGACTGATCACCACTAAAGTCTTAATTCTATAAAATAAACGGATCATAAGTTGTGAATGATGTATAATAATGAAATAACACATGAAGTGCGGAAATTGAATCAGAATGAAATGAATCGAATCGGTCACGTATTATCTCTTGCCTTTTAGCGAAGTCTTTAGTTAAACGGTCGATCAAAGAAAGAAAGCGTGGTTTTGCAACGGCTAAAACTGATAATAACATTCAATCAGGACTTCCAAGGGGTAGAATCGACAAGTGACATGACTCAATTCTCCCAAAACATCGACAAAAATACTCAGAAAAAGCAAAATAGTTTGCGACAGTTACGATTCTGACAATTCACTTTCCATTCCTCTTTGTTTTCTACGTGACATTGGCAATTGTCCCTAACGAAACAAGCCGAAAAACGGAGTCGTAATCGAGCGAAAAAGCGACACCAGACCACCATCAATAAACAACTGCGGCCGGCAGTCAAAAGCGTCTCTTGTTGAGAATCCGCTTACCAACTACAGCGAATGTCTGGCAGGTTATCTCAATCCATCTTAGTTATCTTATTCCAAAAATGCATCAGTGGACCTTTGAGTTTGGTGGAAAATTAAAATAATATTAGTTGACTGTCGCTCATTGACATTTCCAACTAAACAACTTTATGCAAATTTTTGTTGAAATTTGATCCACCGGGAATGAAGAGCAGCGGAAGCGTTGCGTGACGACCCAAAGACGACGAATTTCCGAACGACCGTCATTTTTTTAGAACTACTTGTAGAAGTAATAAATAATAAGGTATTTCTAAACATCGGTCTTTTTAAAACTTGAATTAAAACTCTATAAATGCTAAAAATCTACGGAAAATCTCGCTTGTTGTTGTACTTCTCGCTGTACGCTTTCGATCACAGCTGAATGTGTGCACTCTCAAATTATTCGAACCGCTTTATGGGTTAACTTAAGGAACGGAATTATGCAGTGGGGGATGTTGAAGAGAATATGGTAGGAAGCCGTTCGAACAGCTTGGGTTATAATTCTCCATTCAAAAAATTTGTTCATTTGCCGTTTCAATCGACTTGGTGCGCCTTGTAGAACCAGGGATACCACATTCTTTTTTCTCGTGACGCCACAAATTCACGCTCGGCAACACATGCCAAATAAACAATTACTCATCAATAAATGGCGCATCATAAACACTTTCGTAACGAAATTCAGCGTTTAAAACAGAGTATTTTGCCGTTTCAATCAACTTTGTGCGCCTTGTAGAACCAGAGTTATCACATTGCTTGTCGTGACGCCACAAATTCACACTCAGCGGCACATGCCAAATAAACAGTCTATGAACTATGCTTGTGAAAAAATTACTCGTCAATAATGGGCGCATCATGAACAATTTTGTAACGAAATTGAGCGTCGAAGACAGGGTATTTTGCCCTTTCACAGGGACCGCGTAGCAAGGTGAAAAGTGGGAGGGCTGACAATTGAAAATAATTTTTTCATATTGAAAATCGAAAAATTTCTAACTATGGGCTATTGCATTTAATATCCGCACCCCCCCCCCCCGGTTGAGGAACCATGGAATTCTCCAGGGGTAAGTTATAAAAATTGAGGATTTCTTTAGGGGTAGATATAGAGTAAACAAATATGGAATTCTTTGGGGGTGAAGCCTTAATTTTCACAAAATTCTTCAGGGGTAAACCCAAATTCTTCAGGGGTAAACCCATATTTTACGGAAGTCTTCAGGGGTGAATGCAATTTTAGCCAATCTTAAGGGGTAAGATGAAAAGGTAAGTCCTCAACCGGGGGGTACGGATTTTAAATGCAATAGGCCTATGGCCGTTCACTGTTCAAGTAACGTAATTCTTCTTGCCATCGAATATTTCATTGATTCGAAAGGAGAAAGACAAAACATAAAACTTTTATCAACTCAAAACAACTACTCACCTTTGTTTGGCTTGAAAAAGCTAGTAATAATCTTCATTTCGTCTGATAAAACTGATAAAAAACTCTGCCGGAGCTGGAAGTACAAAACACGCTGCCGAACGAAGCGAAGGGGTGGCCAAGGCAATTGCCGAGGCATGGCGTTTGCTCAAGGGGCAAGTCGGCCCCAGGGCACAATTACCGCGAAAAGCACAGGAGCCCCACAAAATGCCTGGCGTTTGAAATTAAAGAAAATACAGAGAATATAGGGGAATATAGACGGAAAAAAACTTGTTTCAAGTCTTTTTTTAAATTTTAATTATTTTTCTTTTTAGCGCAAAAAGTGGGGGCGGGGGCGCAAAAAAGTGGTGGGGCCGCGGCCCTACCAGCCCCTCCCCCTCCGCGGTCCCTGTTTCAATCGACTTTGTGTGCCTTGTGGAACCAGAGATATCACATTTTTGTTTCTCGTGACGCCACAAATTCACGCTCGGCGGCACATGCCAATAATTTTTTATAACAATCACTTGCCTGTGAATTACTCATCAATAAATGGCGCATCATAAACACTTTTCTAACGAAATTCAACGTTTAAGACAGAGTATTTTGCCGTTTCAATTGTCTCTGTGCATCTTGCCAGAAATATCATTGTGACAAATAAAGCTGAGACTTTTGTCACCGGATGTAAACTTTGTTTACAACTTCACCCGACGTAATTATTACGTCGGGTGAAATTGTAAACAAAGTTTTGGTTACACAGGTTTTAGTTTTGCCCATGAATTCTTATGTCAAATATTAAAGAAATAGACAGAAATAGTAATAGCTCATTTATTAGATTTAGAGTATGGACTTCTCCGACTACTGATCTGATTTAGTCTGAAGTATTGAAATGCCGAGTTTCGATTGTCTCGAAGATGTTTACATCATTTTCATTCAGCGAAGGCGATACAAAAACTCGCATAAACAAAGGTTACACAAGTAGAAAGACACAATAATCAGTTCGAACAAACATTGAATCTTTTCAAGTGCTAAGAGAAAGTAAATCACCTGCATGATTTCTCTTCTCCTCGGCCGTCAATCGGAATTCTGCGTATAAACAGCTAATCTTGTCAAATAAGGGCTTAGCTAGATAAAAATGAGGTCACAACAGTGTATTAAAAGCGTAAATCTGAGCAGAAATTAGACACAACTTACACATTTTGCTTCCCTCTCACTTAAAGCAGGTGAATTAAAAACATTTTTACGAAAAGACGAGATTCTTGAAGTACCGAGACGGCAAAATACGAGCAAAATGTTCTCCGTAGTCGCGACTACGCGAAACAGCTCACAACTCACCGTAGCCGCAGGACTACGCGGGAAAGACGAACAGTCACATGGTTTTGATCATGCGCAGTAGCATGTTTATCCGTAGTCGTAGTCCGTAGTCGCCGTATCTTAAACTCCCTAATGAGGGAGGTTATTTTGAGGTTGCATTTGTGTCGACACACATTTGCCTCACTTTGAAGTGCTTGCTTACGTTTTGCCTCACTTTGACTCACTAACTCACGTGGTGTTTCGTGTGTCCTCGGTATTCATCTTTCAAAGGTTTGCTGAGGTCTGATATTCTGTCTTTGTACTTAAAGCGTTCATCTTTTAAAAAGTTTGCTAAATCTTCGTAAAGCGTACATCGATCTGTGTTTGCTGAATCTTCCAAAGTGTTCATCTTTCAGAAGTTTGCTGTTAAATTTTACTTTCGATGAAGCCTTCATATTTTTCAGCATGGTTCTTCATTGTCTTTGGAAAATATGTGCGACTCCTGCCTTTGTGCCACAAAGTAAATGTACTGAGTTTGTAGCTCGGGGGCCATTGTCAAGCCACAAAGTAAATTTACCGAGTTGTTTAGCTCGGCGGCCGTTGTGTCACAAAGTGAATCTACCGAGTTGTGTAGCTTGGCAGCTGTTGTACCACAAAGTAAATCTACCGAAATTTATGTGAAGCTCGGCGGCGCAATTTGATCATGACTTGTGATATTTTTGGCACCGAATAAACGAACACTTTAACTCTATGTTATTTATTAGGAAAAACTTATAAACCAGCCCACAGTAGCGCCACTCTTGAATCGCTGAAATCAACACGCTCGACCTAATTACTGGAAAAGTTATTGACGTAAGCCGCACACACATTCCACCGAAGGCTTTGAGAGGGTTAGTGCGAAATTTGAATTAAGATGTGAAAACTTTTAAAAAATTAAATTCAGTTTAATTCATTTTGTCAACAGGTTGATGATTGGATGCTCTTAAAAATAACAGAGAAAATTATACGAAGAAATGTTTTTTAAAAAAGAAAAAGAATCCGCGTTAATCAACCTTTGAACAATTTCACCCTGTAATGGTGCCAGTAAAACAAAAGTTTAAATGTTCTACTTACACGCCTGACACACTCTGGCTAGTGTCTCCTCCAATTACAAGCACTTGACACCGAACCATACGATATTTTTTCAAAATCTTCTTATAATGATACACAGTTTATATAGAGGTTTCGCTGTAAATATGCCATAATCATATTTATCTATTGCAAGAACCATCCAATCTTCCCCCTCAACTGTTACCTGTAAGCCTAACAAACATATCGAACACACTCTCCTAAGCTCCGATTACTCCTAGTATGGAACTAATTAATAGGATGGGACCTTATTTTAGCAAAATGTAACCCAGGGAAAATATATGAGAGGGAAGAAAAGCCAATGCTATTCATTGTATGAGATAGCTATGTTCATAGATATTCCATAGCACTGACATAACTGGGCCATAAGTTGTATGGAAATGATATGGGACACCAACTTTTCAATGTGCCATAGATAATCCATACCTATAACATTCACTTTTTAAGTTCCATAGAATTTCCATATGATGACTTCATTTAGGAATGTCTCCCATAGAGTTTCCAATGGCTGGTTTTACAGAAACTCTGTGAAGCCAAAGTTAAACTCAGAGGTGTGGTACTGAAATTCTTTGCTAAGTCCATGGGCTGAAACTAACAAAAAGTACTTTTTTATTTTATTATTATTTTTATATAACTCATCTAATAATATTTTGATGTAACTATTTTGAAATAAGAACATGTGTTTTAAAATGAGTCCTCACTTTCGAACCAAACATCATTCTTTCACTTTCGAGAAGGCAACGCACATTAACAGGTAAAAATTTAAATTTGATCACGAGAAAAAAGAAAACGATGTTTTTTGGTCTGATTGACTCATGCTAGAAGTAAGCCATTCTAAACGACGAAAAATTTAGGATCAAAACAAACCAATCGAAAAATAGGACAGTTCCCGATGGGTCCACACGCCCAATTCCTTGTTAAAGGACCGGTTTCTGATTGGCTGAAAGTCCTTAGGTGGCCCCAGTTGAAGTCTTCACTTTGTAATTGCGCAAACTTAATCACTCTTAATGATTTACTTCTAATAATATTATTCCTGAGAATTTCCGAGAATGGTTTTTTTGTTATTGATCTATAATAATAAAAATTTAATTTGTTGATAACGTATTTTGTTGATATTTTGTGAAACAGACAACTTTGCTTTTGTGTTTAGGTCAGGCTTGTTTGGTTTCCGCTCCCTTCATTCAGCTTGGGTGTCCTTTTGCAACTGGCTCCACCACAGCTCGGAGAAACTGTTTGGGGCTATGGGAGAGAATATAGGCAACCATCCTTTTGCCACCATAGCTATGGCCATTTTCCTTGTTGGGCTTTTTTCGATTGGATTTTTGTGGTTTAATTCTGAAAGAAGATCTGCCAAGATTTTTGTTCCCCAGAATAGCAAATCTCAGCAAGATCTTGATAAAGCAAGCAAATTTTTCAAGTTCAAGCTGAGACAAGAGAAGGTAATCATTGCTCCTAAGCAAGGTGAAAATATAATTGATCCCAAGTGCCTCAAAGAAGTCTTGCAAGTTCATCTTGNCAGGCTTGTTTGGTTTCCGCTCCCTTCATTCAGCTTGGGTGTCCTTTTGCAACTGGCTCCACCACAGCTCGGAGAAACTGTTTGGGGCTATGGGAGAGAATATAGGCAACCATCCTTTTGCCACCATAGCTATGGCCATTTTCCTTGTTGGGCTTTTTTCGATTGGATTTTTGTGGTTTAATTCTGAAAGAAGATCTGCCAAGATTTTTGTTCCCCAGAATAGCAAATCTCTGCAAGATCTTGATAAAGCAAGCAAATTTTTCAAGTTCAAGCTGAGACAAGAGAAGGTAATCATTGCTCCTAAGCAAGGTGAAAATATAATTGATCCCAAGTGCCTCAAAGAAGTCTTGCAAGTTCATCTTGCGGTTGAAAATTTGACAGGGTATGCTGATGTATGTTCAGTAAGGCCAGGAGTAAAAGAAAGGTCAAGAGAATTTTGCATGGCTGTTAATCCTTTAGAACTCTTTAATTACAATGCAGAGAGCATGGTTAACATAAAAGCAAAACTGAGCAGTGCTCTAAACTGTCCAGGTGTTTTAATGAGAAATGGCCGCCCTTCATGCCTTAACTTTCCAAAAATGTTTAGTGGCTTAAAGAAAAATGAATCATCAAACGAAATTTTAAGTGCTCAAGCATTGCAGATAACATGGTATGTTGATGAGCCTAGCAGTGATAAAAGCACAGATGAAATAAAAGCCTGGGAAGAATCATTTATCGAGAAACTATCCTCTTTGCAAGATGAGTTGTCAAATATTGAAATCTACATTTCTGCCGAAAAAAGCTTGGATGATGCAGTTGCTGCAAGTAGCTCGTCTGATATCCGTTGGTTTTCCCTCACATTTACTCTCTTGTTAACGTTTGCTAGCGTGATGTTAGGAAAGATTTTCACGAATCCGCTGACGGGACACACCTTACTTGCATTAGGTGGCACCTTTGCTGTGGCTCTTGGAATCTTAGCTGGGTTTTCTTTGTCTATGCTAGCACAAACACCTTTTGTTAGCATTGTGGGTGTTCTGCCATTTCTTGTTGTTGGTATTGGCGTTGATGATATGTTTATTATTGTGGATCACTTAGATCGCCAGGAACGTCAGTTGAAAGTTCCTACTGTAGTCCGGCGAGTTATGTCTGGTACAGGGGTAACAATTACCATGACAACCCTAACAGACCTGGTGGCCTTTGCTGTGAGCACAAATTCTCAATTCCCTTCAATTCAGTACTTTTGTACTTATGCTGCTTTAACAATAACCTTTTCATTTCTCATGATTGTCACTGTCTTTGTGGCTATGATGTCATTTGATGTGCGGCGAATTAAAGCAAATAGACGAAACTGTCTTCCAATGTGCTATGCCCCAGAGCCAAAAGAAGGGCAGCCTCCTTGGGATGAACCTCAGCCTCAGGTATCAAACAGATTGATGAAAAGATGGGCAGAGTTCCTCATGCACCCAACAGTCAAGACTGCAGTTGTGCTTATCTCTCTTTGCTTACTAGGAGGAGGTATATATGCCACCATTCACGTAGATCAAGAATTTGACAGAAGTTTGTTGGCCAAAGAAGGGTCTTATTTTGATGAGTTCGTGAAAATGGATCGAAAATATTTCGAACTACCCATGGAAACCAGTATTGTACTAATTGGAAATGTGGAGTATGGAACAGTCTCTGTGCAAAATGAGATTACCGAGCTTTCTCAGATTGTTGCTTTGAATAAATACTTTGAAACAGATACTGTTACATGGATGGGGAATTTCTTGAAGTACTGTAAGGATCATAATAAACCTTGCGATGGTGATGACTTCATGGCCAGTTTAAAGAGTTTCCTCAGCACCTCTAAATTCTCTTATTATAATGGAGACATCAAATTTGGCCAAAATGAGACAGTGATTGAAGCCTCGCGTATAACTGCTTTCATGAAACGCTCCTATAGCTCAGTATTCAAAAAGGATGCCATGCTGTCTATGCGAAAGGATTTAAGTGCAAAGTCAAAGCTGCCTGTTTTTGTGGCTGCACCTTCCTTTGTCTACCTTGAGCAGTATGCAGCTATTCTCTCTGAGACAATTCGTAACCTGACAATTGCAGCGCTGGCAGTGCTCGTTGTGACAGCCCCCTTCTTGATCAATTTAAGTGTGTCTTTTTTGGTGTTTGTTGGTTTTGTGTCTCTGATCTTTGAGTTGTTTGGAATGATGTGGCTGCTGAATGTCTCTCTTAACTCCATCTCCATGATANATGCTGTCTATGCGAAAGGATTTAAGTGCAAAGTCAAAGCTGCCTGTTTTTGTGGCTGCACCTTCCTTTGTCTACCTTGAGCAGTATGCAGCTATTCTCTCTGAGACAATTCGTAACCTGACAATTGCAGCGCTGGCAGTGCTCGTTGTGACAGCCCCCTTCTTGATCAATTTAAGTGTGTCTTTTTTGGTGTTTGTTGGTTTTGTGTCTCTGATCTTTGAGTTGTTTGGAATGATGTGGCTGCTGAATGTCTCTCTTAACTCCATCTCCATGATAAACCTGGTTATGGCTATTGGTTTTGCTGTGGACTACAGTGCCCATATAGCTCATGCCTTTGTTAAGGCAACTGATACTTCAGCTGATAAAAGGGTAGTCGAAGCAGTTACCTATGTTGGAGCAAGTGTCATGTTAGGAGGTAAGGAAACACTGTAGAGGGTAAGTACGTGGAAGATGATCATCCAAGTATGTAGAGGCCTGAATAGGACTGTTGACAGTGACTGAAGTTTCGACAACCTGTGCGATAGTCATCTTTAGAGTCAAAGTGACCTGTATTACGTCTGTTGATGGTGTTCAACCCTAGTTATTGACCTGGGCCCAGTTGCTCGAAGCGTGGTTAGCGTTAACCAGCGTTTAATACCTTGACAACGTATTGGTTTTGATACTGCTTAACCAATGGTTAAAGCAAACCATGCTTTGAGCAACTCAGCGCTGATTTGTCAATTAAGTCGATGTTATTGGTGGTCTGTCAGTTAAGCCGTGATGTTATTGGCTATGAAGACTCTAGAACGCTACTGAATTGTAGTCAACATTTATCGGCACCGCACAAACAACTTACTGACATGGATAACTGACAATTTAACCAACAATTAACAAAAGACAGTTACACTGTGACAAAAGACAGACTGAAACGCACCAAACACATTAAGAGTCCTCATAGCCAATAACGTCACGGTTTAACTGACAGACCACTTAATTGACTTAATTGACTTAATTGACCAATCAGGTCAATAACGAGAGTTTAATACCGTCAACTGATGTGATACAACTCACTTAGACTCTGAAGATGACAGCACAGGTTGTCGAAGAGTCAGTCACTGTCAACAGTCCTATCCAGGACTACACTCACCCAGACGATCATGCTCCACCTGCTTATATGAAACGACTCCTGGGTTAAAACCTTTCACAAGTGAAAGACTTAGTATAAAGTTCACCCATATTCGAGCTTTGTTCACACATTATTACTGACCCGTTTTGGCCCTATGCAAACATTTTCACCAAGACATAACTATTCTAGTGAGATTTAAGCTAAAAAAAATGTAGGCAAGAATTGAATGTGAAATGTTGTGGCGTACATGTAAATTACAGTGACGGAAGCAAGACAAAGTTGAATGAGAATCGAGCGTGGCTGCTAGTACCCTTAATTTTGCTTATTTCTAATTCCAGTCGTCCATGTACACGAAAAAGCTCTTTTTGGTGGATAGAAAATCCTATCCTGTTAGCTCTGCTACTGGAGTGAAGTTGTACTACTTCAGACAAAAATAGCTGGAACACTTCCACCAAACGTTGTTTTTTTTTTTTACTTCTGGCCCACCATTACATCCACCCAATGTCTTTTATCGCAGGTAACTCACCAAATCTTGCACACCAACATTGAGAGAGTACGAAGACAGTTGACTGAGACTGTAGCATGACTGATACTGAGACGACATTTTATTTTCCTGTCATGTAAACGAATGTGGTGCAACAAGAGGAACCCTGCCAGTACAGAATTGTACCAGTATCATGTAAACAGTGTTTCTTTAATCTTTGGAAAATTTTACAGATAAGCAAATACAATGAGAATCTACCTTGTGATTATTTTACTAAGGAGGACAATGTTAAATGTTGATTTTTTTTTATTTAGGTGCCAGTACCCTCATTGGAATCTCCATGATAGCCTTCTCAAAGTCAAAGATTTTTCAGATTTTCTTCAAGATGTTCTTTAGCATGGTACTCCTTGGTCTTCTCCATGGCCTTTGCTTTCTGCCAGTCCATCTCTCTGTGCTGTACAATCTTGCTGCCTCAGTGTACAAACGACGTGGCTCCAACGGAAAACAGAGTGAAGTGGTTCCTGGCGCAGAGGGCCCGGGTACAGTTTATTGCAACCCAGCAGGGGATAAACTTCCTCTGGAATCTTCTGCAATCAATCAAGAGACACAGAAAGATTGTAGAGAAGCTTCAAACCTGCTATCCTCTGAGCAGCAGTTGAATGGCAGTACCACAAAAGGTTGGAAAAATTAACTATTGTTGATGATAAATACCAATTTAATGTTTGAGAAGGTATTTATATCAGTGCTCAAAGCAGTTTTATCCAATATCCGAAAACCTGTAAGTCAGTCAGTCTGTAAAAACTAAGTGGACCCTTGCTTTTTCCAAAACCTACTCCATAGTATCTGCATACCTGATCAATTAAACTGAATAATGTTCGATTTATCATAGGAAAGGTTTTATTTAAAAAATTTCTACATAATAAGAGTTATGTCTTGCATCTCGTCAATAGCGTAACATTACAATTTTAGTCAAGAAACGATATTAGCTTATTTTTCTCCGACCGTCCGAAAGCAGCTGAGCTCTTGGATCTTCCTGTGCTAAACGTCCTTAATAAAGGCTTGTTGAAGCGGACTGTTGGTTACTTTGAGTCCATCATTTCAAGTAAGATTTCAAAGTTCGCGAGTAAATATTTAAACACTGATATGGTTATGAAACATCTCAGCACCGTTGGCCCTCCAAACATTCAGCCTTGATTGTCATGGTGCTGGCAAAAGTAGTCACATTCCAAATAATCGAAGCACTGTCAACAGCGATTGATAACATGACTTGAATGATGAATTCAAGAACATGGCGGAGGTCCACCTTCATTAAGAAATGAAAATACGTTTGTTATACTCAGTAATCGAATCGATCAAAAACAAACGGCAACAGTAGCTGAAAACAAATACGTAAACTTTTCACTGTAAAGAAATACGTACCTCGAAATAATTCACCTGACTTGCCAGTAGCCAAGAATATTATCAGTCAAATTTTAATAGTTCATGATCAACAGTTTGAACAAGAGAAAATTTAACGCGTATGATTGTTATCCCCCCAAAAAAACGAAAAACACCTTTTAGTCATCTGACTTGTTGAACAGCACAAAGACAACGACAGCAGCGGAAAAAAGTCGCCAAATCTTTACTCATCTGACCATGCACGTGCATGAACCTGAGGTGAGGACGAATTTTCGCAGCGTCCATACTTTTAGACCTTCAGTCATATAGGTCACCTCAGATGCGTCACTGCAAAATCGGCACTAAACAACCTTAACTGGAAAAACTAGTCTCGCTAGTTTAGTCACGGGTAAACCTGTTTTTATATAGTTTCCCATATCTTTCTTTTAGTTTTATGAAAACTGGTTTCAGCAAATCCCAAGGGATAATAGAATCTTTACCATCATTGGACAGCTCTTCTTTAATCCAATTAATGCGGTCCCATGAGAAATACACACGCCTCCTGGAAATAAAGAGGGGATGCCCAAAAAATTCTCTGCACAATTGGGCAAATAAGGGAAGTTAACATTTAGGATCCTCTTTGGAGACATAGGTGCCTTATCACTCTTACTGCAATGTAATGGTGTGCAGATTTTATATGAAGAATAAGCTGAATACCACCAAATGCTCTTAGCTACAATGTAATTTTTTCTTTAGAAAATAAGAACCTAAATAGCCTAAATTTGTGCTAATTACCATTTATGTACGAACCTGTTATAGCTAACGTGGGAAGTCGCTGGGTTTTACTGTATTTAAACCAATAATGAACTCAGTATTGAAATAACCAAGTTCAAATTTTACTCTTTTAGGAACGCGTTACCGGGTTTCACTATAACAATACTGGGATCATTATACATTTGTGAGACACTGCCCATCTACCCCTCCTCTAAGCCAATATTTTGCCCTAAGTGAGAAGTAAATGTTAATGTTGGCTTAGGGGAGGGGTAGGTGGGCAGTTTTCTTAGAAACGTATAATGATCCCAATATTGTACCAGTGTCACCATTGTCCACGGTTTCGATCAGTCAGCACATTATTGTATATAGAGGATATTACATGGCCGCGCGGAGATACGAAATTTCTCTTCGAGTGTTGTAAAATATTGCACGAGTGAGCGCAGCGAACGAGTGAAATATTTTTTCAACACGAGAAGAGAAATTTCGTATCTCCAAGCGGCCATGTAATGTTTTATTTATTATATAAACACCAATGAAATAGCAAACCATTTCACTTTAATAGTTTTTTGGTGTGAAAGGCGCGATTTATTATGTAGCCACAGCAAAGTGATATTTTCACATGTGAAGATATCAAGTTTTCGCGCGAAAGCTCACCTGGTACTTCATTGGTGTTTATATAATAAGGGGTATATATTTCACTCTTTTTCAAGAAATGATCATAGTTCACCATTAAACAAAAATCTGAGGAAGCTTTTCTGAATCTGACCAAGCAAACAGCTTCAGTAGCATTATTGTTTATTGATTGGTTTGATGGCTGACTAGAAAATATGCTTCTTCCTTCTTTCTCAAGAAAAGGTCCAAACTTTTGCAATGATTAGTGTGCAACAGCTTCATCTTATAATTATCCTAGACACCACATCCAATCTAAATCATGTTTTGCTCTGCGGATCTGTAGGGCTGTGGCTTTATGACTGCCAGTGTAATTGGTGCTTGCGCCTGGTTGGCAAAACTTTACCTTTAGATTGAACAGCAGAGACAAAGTTGCAAGAACTTATTTCTGGTTGTCTAACTTGTTCTCAATTCTTCTTTTTAAACAGACAACGGAGGAACAGATGACAGAGAAAAGGAGAGTTTGGATCGTGAATCAAAATTGTGAGATTGGATGCTTAGTTGGGTTGCACAGATTCAGCACTACCAATCTATTATTGGAAAAAAACTGAACACGATGCAGTGTGTATTAAGAATTATTCAGAGGTGGCTTACTTCTTTCAAGGTCTGCCTACTTCACTATGTTATACATTATGTTATGTTATAGTTGATAAAGAAAGTGTTCATTTAAGTTTTCAGATTCAAAATCTCCGGGGTCGTGACCAAACCTGGACGTTTTTATTTCGGATTCATGCATCTACGTGTAAACGACAAAACGAATCTGCTACCAAAATGTTCTGGATCCGTCAAGAATCCGGGAAAATCTCCTCCAGTGTAAACCTGGTCTTAGAAAACCGTGAACACCTGAAATATTTTAGGAATGTGGATTGAGCGACAATTACCATAAGCACGCCTCAAAACCACAAAGAAATAGGCCATTTTACAATTCTCAAAATTCATAGTTGGCTCCTAGGTTGAGGGGAATAAAACAAAAGAAATGATTATTCAGCACCGAATCTTAAAAGATTTTTTTGTACCTCAACGTCAGAGCCAACTTCTAATTTTGTTAATTCGAAACTGGCCTATTACTGTTGCTGTTTGCTTTTTAGTTTACTGTAGTTCAGTTTAGTCAGTTTTTTTTCTGGTGTTCACGGTTTCCTGAATTTCACACTAACGTTATTGAGAATTAACTGGTACTGGACTTGGCGTAGTACATTGTCCTGGCTTGAGAACCCGGCTCTTTTGGAGGAAAAGAGTGCAAAAAGACTGAGGTAAAAGGGGAAAGAGCAAATGGAAGACTCCTGTGGTAATCGTGGTCGTAATTGAAGTTTACCTCGCGCTTTGTGCGCGACCAACTTATAACTTACTTGCCCTATTAGTCTCTGTATTGACTTTACCTACAGTAGTTTTGTACTTATCATTACCAGTCATAACAGCGACAGGTTAAAGCCCATGGCAAGATATATGAACTGGGATTTTCATTAATAGATTAGACAAAATACTTAAAAAAAATTTGGATAATGCTAACCTTACAAAACTGTGACGGCAACATCTTGCATCTATTAAAATTGGAAACAGGGCGCGATAAAAATGCAGTCCGATAGCGTGAATTACGTGTTATTCGAAGTGTAAACATTTCTCATAAAACAAGGGGGTTGGGAAGCCTGTACTACTGCCGAGGACTAGTAAACTTCAACAAATCGCCCGAATAGCAAGCGTTTTAATTTTTTACTTTTCATCTCAACCTGAATGAATGATTGAAGAATGAAGCATTATTTGATCTCGGGTTTGGTGAGGCTGGTCAAACCTCTAGCAATAATTAAATATGCTGAAAAGCCGAAGAAAAAAATATAGAACTAAAAGAGAGAACCACAAGCTTATTTACAATATGAAGCCTAAATTACGTGATATAGCTATTTACAATAAAGAAGCCTAGTTACATAATATATATAAGTTACTGAGAATTAGCTAATACGAACCTTAGCTGGCGAACTGCTATAATTATGCCAAGAGATCTTAAGGTGGGTAATTGTTTGTTGTTTTGAACACATGAATTAACATGTTTTGGATACGACGGTCTACAAAGCTGTAGCCAATTAGATCAAAAAGAGCGTCAGAGCTTGTATTTGTGTGTAAAGCATCGAGTAAAAAAAAAAAATTGCTAGCCTTGAGATTTTACTAATTTTACTTAAGATCGAGCATGGAGAATACCATGTCTCTACAAGTTCAGTGTATTTTGCTTCATGTACATTTATCTGCTTTCCTCTGCAGAAGAGTACCGTCAAAATGATCAAGCTCAAATTTTTGTTAGTAGAGAATGTAATCCCAATGAAAATGAAACAGGCAACCTCGTTCCCAGATTTTCTCAGGGACGGGTAGGAGAGAACCCTGGGAACGAGGCTGTGAAAAACGGTCTTTGTATCGCCTAATGTGAGGAAATCCGGAAAATGTATGCTTGTAGTATCCGGAACCCTGGGCTTTGGAAGCCAGAATACAGCTCGAGGAATCTGGGTCCCATTAAAAGTGAAACTCAGAAGTTCCACTGACAAAGACTGTAATCCAGTACCTGAAATCGAGAATCCAAGACTGTGTTGGATTCCCTTATATGGGGCGATTTGTAATCATAAAGAGACCTCCATCTTGTTGTTTGTAGTTCTTTAAACTTCAGTAGTTTATGAAAGCTGGCGATTCAAAAAGAGACAAGTTCATGTATAAAATGTATATGTTACAGAAGAACTTCTTTTAGCCAGTTTAAGATCATTTAAGATATTTGTGTAAATCAACCATTTATTATGCTTTGATGCAGTTATATTAAAAAAGATAAATCACCTAAGGTTGCAGTTTTTGAACTAATTGAAGTTGTACTGCTTCAATTTTGCAAAAAATTGACGAGCATTAGGCTCATTGTTGTACTATTTATGAGTACTTATGTCCAGTTATGTTCAGTGATTTGGTTCTTACTCAGAATCTTCAGGGCAGATCTACAGGTAGCTTGTACAACCAGGTTTTCCAACCGAAGCCGAAGGCGATATCTGGTAAAGGTAGAAAATTATTTTTTTCCGATTTGCTACTCAAAACTGCCTAGAAAGTGCGGGCGTCACGTGAGTGTTGTCATCTGCGTACGCTATGGTGTGTGAAGTTCATTCTTTACAAAGTCTTTAATATCAAACAAATCGTTTCGCTGAATAAGTAGTTTTGAGAAAATCTCGTATTCGTAGTCGTACTCGTCTTAGAATCTAAAGGTCTGTAATATTGATGGTGAGACCCTTTTTATGTTATCTTGAAAGACTTCTGAAAAGGTTTTGTTAAAAAAAATGTGGTGTAGAAATTGACGCGAAAGGGTCCGTAATGCTTTGAGCGTTATAGCGCGTGCTATGACAATTGAATCAAAATTAACTGCCGCTTTAAATTTGACAATATATGTTTGGTGAAAAACAACAACAACTGATCAGTTTAAAAATCGCATTTTTTTAAAGAAAACTTTCAAATTTGTCGTTTAACGCGGCCGCCATTTTGAGAATTTATTTAAAGCATGAGGTCTTACATCGCTTGTCACGTTTTTGTCAGCTGATCACGTGTAAAAATCGGATTTGACCTGATCTCGCCTTCGACTTCGTCGACAAGAGGTGTGGGTACGAGATTACCTGTAGCATCTACCGATGGTGAAACGCCTTTTCTCATGAACCTGTCCATGCAAATATAGTTTACGATTAAGTAAAGGTTAAATTTTTGTTAAATAAAGTTGAATTACTTGCATTGAAGTAGTTTTTTTGGCGTTTCAGGTCTATTCGTCCTGTATATTTCTAGTAGAAAGCCTGGAAACACGCTTTGTTTTGTTTCAGAAGTTGATCGGCATTCATGAAGTCTTGTAGCCGAGCCTCTCATCGAATCCTAGGGCGCGGGCGCTAAGCACTAGGTGTATTTTCCTAAAAAGTAACTGGGTGGGACGAAACAGTGATGGTTTCTAGGGAGATTTTAGCCAATCGTAGAGCCGAATATGCAGTAGCGATTGTTTTTAAATTTCGTGTTAGGCTTGTAAGATGAAAGGAGACTGTCCAGCCCCCGGATAGTGCTAAAAATGTCACATCGAAAATCCACACGGATATGGACATTTTAAAATAATATATAGTTTCAACGGTTCCAAATTTGAAAATCTTGGAAGAAATAAATACGTTGTTTACCGGCCTTGGTCGATCCGCATAGGAAAAAACTGTGTTCTTTTAAGTTTGCGTCGTTAAATCCCCTGTCATTTCACAAAGTGTAGCTAGGCTAAGCGGCAAAGTTTATCATTTTTAAAACTTTTTATTAAAAGGTGAAGAGAAAATAAAAAGACTCAGTTATCGTCTCTTGGAAAAATTCAAAAGAAAAGATCATGGCAGAATGATGAATGTCTCAAAGAGCTTTGTGAGGTATTTGGTATTGGTTCTTTTGCCTTGGGTATCGAAAACCCCAGCCATTTAACACGTTGAATGTCATGGGCGGTGTCTTTCTTCTTATTGACGTAACCATGGATATTTCCCATGGCAAATTTATCTCGGGAAAGTCCGGTCACTCCTACCTTGCCAATTTCCCGCTGTAAAAGGGTCATTTAGGACG